CTTTCACATTTCCTTGAGTCACCTCTCTTTGGAATGGGCACAGATATGAATCTCTTGCAAGTAGGTAATTGTCTTCCAAATTTCTTGCCATTGATGAGTGAATGCCTCCAGGGCTGCAACAGTTAATTGAAAGATTTCAATTTATAATCCATCTATTCCCGATGCCATGTTCTTTGCCAATGCCTTCAATGCACCTTGGACTTCTTACTTCAGGATAACCTGCCTCTTGAAGTAGTTGAACAACTATTTCTTTTTGGTGCAGTGAGTCTGTGTATTCCTTCCATCTTCTTTTGATGCTTTCTGTACCATTCAATATGTTTCCCATAGAATCCTTCAATATCACAAGCCAAGGCTTCAATTTTTTCTTCAGTTCCCATAGCTTGAGAAATGCTGAGTATGTTTTTCCCTGTTGGTTGTCTAACTCCCGGTCTTTGGACATTTCATTGTAATATTTGACTTTGTCTTCTCTAGTTGATATTTGAAATTTTCTATTCAGCTCTTTTACCTCTTCACATCTTCCACTTGCTTTAGCATCTCTATACTTGAGATCAAGTTTCAGAGTCTCTACCGATATCCATTTTGATGTTTTACTTCTTGTCTTCTTAATGACCTTTAGCTTTCTTCCTCTATGATGTTCTTAATGTCATCCCACAACTCTTCTGGTCTTCAGTCTTTAGTGTTTAATACATCAAATATGTTCTTCAAATGATCTCTAAATTCAGGTGTGATATATTCAAGGTCATATCTTGGGTCTCCTGGACTTGTTTCAATTTTTTGCAGCTTCAGTTTGAATTTTCATATGAGTAATTGATGGTCTATTCCACAGTCTGTCCCTGGCCTTGTTTTGTGTGATGCTATGGAGCCTTCCACAGTCTCTTTCCACGGATGTATTCAATTCAAATTTTGTATTCCATCTGGTGAAGTCCATGTGTGTAGTAATCTTTTATTTTGTTAAAAATATGTATTTGCAATGAAGAAGTCATTGGTCTTGAAAAATTCTATCATGACTTTTTTAGCATCGTTTCTAATACCAAGTCCATATTTTCCAAATACTGATCCTTCCTCTTTGTTTCCAACCTTTGCATTCCCATCACCAGTAATTATCAATGCATCTTGATTACTTGTTTGGTCAATTTAAGATTGAAGATGTTGATAGAATTCTTTAATATCATCATCACTGGCATTAGTGGTTGGTGTGTAAGTTTGAGTAATAGTGGCATTAATTGATCTTCCTTGTTAAATGTATGGATATTATCCTATCACAGACAGCAATGTACTTCATGACAAATCTTGATATATTCTTTTTAATAATGAATGTGATGCCATTCCTCTTCTATATGTCATTCCAGGCATAACAAGCTATGTAATTGTGATTGTCAGATTTAAACTGGCTAATGCCTGTCCATTTCTGTTCACTAATGCCTAGGATATCAATATTTATGTGTTCCCTTTCCATTTTGATAATTGACAATTTTCCCAGGTTCATAATCTGTACATTCCATGTTCTTTTTATTAGTGGATGTTTA